AGAGAGAGAGAGAGAGAGAGAGAGAGAGAGAGAGAGAGAGAGAGAGAGAGAGAGAGAGAGAGAGAGAGAGCAGAGGTAGACAAGAGAGAAAGAGAGAGAGCAGAGGTAGACAAGAGAGAAAGCGGAGGCAGACCATAGAGTTGGAATGGTTTTAGAGAGAGATTTTACTGAGACAGGGGACCAAGAAAGGAGAGAGAAAGAATACTGTTGAATTGGAGAAGATAGAAAAGATAGAGATGACTGTCCGGTATTTCGAACACTGGACGACTGTTTTTCGTTCAAACTAAAAAAACCCATCTGTTCGGTGTTCGATTTACCAGATAGGGGGGTAACTTGGAAAAAAAAATGGCAAGCAGGTGGGGTTGGTGCTACACGTAATTTGGGACAAACGTGTTTCTATTTTGTAATTGACCTCCCCCCAATATGGTCCGTACGTAAATTTATCTATCCCATATTATTAAACTTCATGGAAATTTCTAAATGTCCAACACCCCAAGATCCAAGTCTTCCTTTTTATTGTTTTTAGTGTTCTAAATTTTTTCTCCTTTGATAATTTGAGGAAGAAGCATTCGTGTTTCACATAAATTATGCGAATACCAGGAAGAAGCATTCTTGGGTTATTCTCTTTTGTTACTCTCTGTTGCGTCTGAAAGTTAGAAGGCTAGCAAGGAATTGAGGCTCCTGCACTGGACATACAGGCTCACTTTTCCGTTTCCTTCTTTCTTTGAGCCCCACTTTAGGGTTTCATGTTGTGAAATTTAGACCTTTGCCACCCTTATGTCGGGTTATATAGACTGGAGTGGATTCATTCTTTCTTACTAACTTGAATCTTTTTGACGGTTTGAAATAAAGTTTCTAGGGATTGGCAAGTTAATAGTTTAGGCTGGTTAAAAAAAAGAGGATAAAAGCATCACATGACATACAGGGTCACTTTTCCATTCCCTTCTTTGAGCCCCACTTTAGGGTTTCATGTTGTGACATTTAAACCTTTGCCACCTTATATCGGGTTATATAGACTGGAGTGGGTTCATTCTTTCTTACTGACTTGAATCTTTTTGACAGTTTGAGATAAAGTTTCTAGGGATTGGCATATTGATAGTTTAGGATGGTTAAAAAAAACGAAAAGAAGAAAAAAGCATAGACTGAAGTGGCGTTACTGGTTTTTGGTGCCAGGATGAGCTGAGAGATGCTGTTCTGCTTGTGTTTGCCAACAAACAAGATCTTCCAAATGCAATGAACGCTGCTGAGATCACTGATAAGCTGGGTCTTCACTCCCTCCGACAACGCCATTGGTAAGAGTTTGCTTTCCGCATCTTGTGAATTTCTCCTAGCTTGGGCACCATTGCTTTCTTCTTATAAACTCAAAACTTGGGTGCGCTGTCACAAGGAAAAGATGAATTCAATATGGATATCATATGCTAATATAATTACTGAATTTGTGGTGTATTATCACAAGAAAAAATAGAAGTACACAAGAAAACTCGATATAGTTAAGAATGTGGTTGGTGGGTTTTCAGGTACATTCAGAGTACTTGTGCTACATCTGGGGAGGGGCTTTACGAGGGGTTGGACTGGCTCTCAAACAACATTGCTAACAAGGCAAATTACTTAGCCCTAAGTTTTATAACTTTGTTATGTTTGTCACCAACCATAGTGTGCTTCATTAACATACTTCCGTTTTTTCTGTTTTTGCCATGTTTCAGGCCTGAAAAGTTAAGACTGTAGGTTTTGGTTTCTTGTGATTTTGCGGCAACAGGCTTATAGTTTTCGAATGGTTGGGGTGACAATGATGTAGCTGTTACTATCTCGTAATGGCGTGCGTCGGGAAAGCTATCATACTAATACACCCCAATCTACTTGTCCGACTGTTATGAGTTGTTTTCTTGATCCAAATACATGACAAACATATTGTGTTGTTCTCTTATCCCTGACTAGTGATATGCATGTTAGCCTGTGGATTTTGAATTCTAATTTGTTGGAATGGATATCTGGGATTTGAAGAAGTGAATTTACTTAAAGAGAACAGAGATGTCAAATTAGGAATATACTTTCTGGTATGATTAAGCTGCTCTGATGGTTGTTACTTCTGTATTACTCGTTGGTTTGCGTCCGTGTGTGAGAGGGAGAGGGAGAAATTGGGGCAGGAAAGTAGGGGTGGCAATAGGTCGGGTCTGGCTGGACCCGGACCCAGACCTGAATGTATTCGGGTCCAAGTTTTTGACTCGGATCCAACCCGTCAACCCGTCGTGTCCAAAAGTTGGACCCATAGCTGTGCTCGTTAGGTCCCGGGTCTTGTTGTGTCTATTGCCACTTGCACTATGAGCCTCTTTTTTTTTTTCTTTTGCGATTTCTTTACCATCATATACCCAAATCATTGTTTTTTTGTCATTTCTTTACCATCAGGTATCAAAATTATGGACAACAAGGTCACAATCCGCAATTAGATTTCTAACCCTCTTATTCGTCGTTTAATAGCTAAAGATGATTATTTGTCGTTCAATAGTTAAAGGTGATTATGAATTTTTATTGCATATGATCTTTAATACACTTAAACAAATAGGATTTGAAGTATTTTATCTCCTACAGTTTACGGGCATCGATGGAGTCCAACCAAACTCGGACTCGGACTTGAATGGTATTTGGTTCCAGGTTTTGGACTTGGATCAGTGTTTTAAAATGCGGGATGCGGTCTTAATACGGTGGGGGGCTGATGCGGTTCGATGCGGCCCGGATGCGGGTGTATCGCGATGATACGGTCAATAAATGTAAATAAATTTTTTTAAAAAATAAGTTAATGCATAGAAAAAAATATGAAGGCCATATATGTGATAGTAGGTATTTTAGTTTAATGATTAATTTCAAAACTATTAGCTGTTGGAGATTCTGTATTCAATTATCTATTATCCTTTGATAGAAATTAGAAACTTGAAACCAGTTTCATAAAACATTCAACAATCAACAACCATCAAAACAAATTTACACCATAAGCACAACTATAATTACGCACAACCATCAACAACCATAAGCACAAAATAATGATATTACAAAATACAAATCAAAAGACAAAGAGTTAATAGTTAATAAATAATAACTTAATACAATCATCCAATTTAATACTCAATTTTGAAATTTGAACTTCATTTTTTAAATATCAATTAGACAAGTCATCTTGAGAGTCGTCATGCGTATCATCAATAGCATCCTCGACGGCCTCCATGTATTCTTCTTCATCGGTCTCCTTTCAGTCAGCTTCCTCCTCAACCTCGGAAGCTAATGTGCGAGTGCGATTAGACCCAGCAGCTCCTCTACTCCTTTGTGCTCTAGTGTTAGGTCGATATTCTTCATTAACCACTGTTGCTAACTTGACATCAAACCATGTAAGATCCTTACCTTCAAACACACGCTTTTGTCTTGGATCCACGGTCCACTCACTTATGGAATCACCATCAGCTTCATATAATTGAATAGGGTTGAGTTTCGTGCGATTTTCATACCTCTCCTTAAGCCGCTCGTTATATCGCACATAAACCAAATCATTCAACTTTTTTTGCTCTAACCTATTTTTTTTTTTGTAATGGAGCTGTGGTAGAAATTTGAAATTCAAGAAATAAGGATTAAGGAATAAGGAGTAAATGACTTACATGCTCAACTGCACTCCAATTGTGATCACAACTAGATGAGCTACATGTGAGATTCAACACTCGAATAGCAAGATGTTGTAGATTTGTTGTCTCGCTTCCATATAATGCCCACTATGCAGTTGTATAATATTTTATAATTTCGAATATAGTTAAAAATTAAGGGTATTAAATAAACAATAGAACTATACATAAAGTAAGAGACAAGTAAGATTATTTTTTGGCTTTTGGCCTTTACCTGAATATGTAATGTCCCTATTTCGAGTGGCAATATCTCTCCCAAAGTTTCTCAAGGTTAACTTGAACTTAATCAATTCATGGCTCTGGATCTCGTCCTAGATATATTTGTCTGGCACCAACCTCTCAAGCACATCTAAGAACCCACCATTTAGTACACAATCTGACTCAATGGATGGGTGCTTGTAGTGAAGAGATGGGTTTAGAAAATAACCGGCTGAATAAAGGTGCCTATAAAGCTGGGTATACCATATCCTATCAATAATTTCAAGTATAGCCTTGCACATATTTTCATCATCCTTTAAAACATCATTTATTTCAGTTTTTGCCCTAGTCATTGCCTCATGTATGTAGCCCATGGCGGGCTTCGCATCATCATCAATTAGTTGAAGCACTATCACAAAAGGGCGAACAAAAGATGTATTCAGAATAATTTTTTCAGCCTTTCTCCCATTCTTATGTTTTGACTATTTGCTTTGACTCTTGCTCTGAAGCAAACATGGTTCTCAAGGCATTTTTTTGCTTGACTAGACTTTGAAGAGCGAGAAATAATGTGGCAAATCTAGTGATACCCGGTCTTACTGATTCTCTCTTTTTTGTAAAAGACCTCAGCATGCTTAGGACTATGGTGTGATTGTAAATAAATCTAACCACAAACATAGCTCTTGAAATCACCCCACTAAATAAAGATGTTGTACTCATTTCCTTAAGCATAAGATTAACACAGTGAGCTGCACAAGGTGTCCAAAACATATGCTTCATTTTCAAAGTCAAGAAATGCCCAGCTGTAGCATACCTGACACTATTGTCAGTGATAATTTGTACCACATTTTGCTCCCCAACAAAATCGACAATCTCATCCATCAAGCCAGATAAGTATATACCATCATGTGACTTATCTGATGCATCAATAGACTTAACAAAAAAAGTGCCTGTTGGGAAGTTAACCAAAAAATTAATGAATGCCCTTGATTTCCCATCGGACGGACCATCATAATAGTGGCCCCATATTTCTCCCACCCTTCTCTCTGAGAAATCAAAATTTTATTCACGTCAAATACAACATCATTCAACTAGGGCTCCCTAACCTCATGTAGTGAAGGAGGAATAAATCCTGGGCCATAGTGCCCAATTGCTTGGACCATACATGCAAAACGATCCAGAGTTATATTATTAAAAGAAATGTCCGCCATGTAAATCCACTGTACAATCCACTTACATACCGACTTCCTTTGTTCTTTCTTATATTTATTGTCAATTGTGGTTTGTTTTGTTTTTTTCTTTCTCTCCTGAACCACAATTTCGGGGCTAGGGGTGAAAAAAGAATCCATTGGCCCCTTAGAGAGAGGTGTTCTTCTGTCAGCACTACCACCAATATTTATAACACTCTCTCTTGAGATTGGAGTATGAGTACCCCTTTGCCTCATAGCAACTTTGGACATATCATCATCATCAAATAATTGCATATCATCAAGTAATTACTTTTTTTTTCTCTTTATCTTTCTTCAATCTATCCAAATATTCTATAATCTCTTTTTTTATATCATCTGTAGCTTGTGGGCATGCTCTTACATTCCCAGAAATTCCGGCTAAATGCTCTTTTTGTCGAAAAATACCACCTATATAAGTATTTCTACAGAGCAAGCATATCACACAATTTTTATTTTTTGGATTTTTTAGTTAGCATATTTCCAAGCCGGATCCATGTTACTAGAAGATTGGGAAGAAAACATTGTCCCAAAAATAAGTATAACAATATTATTGTACAAGAAAGAATAAAAAGTTACCGACTCTGTGAAGTAGTGCTCCATTTCTTCACGGCCTCTGAAATCCCCAATTTCTTATCACAAATTCACCTTAACATCCCCAAATCAACAGTCAAACGCACCAAATGAGCATCCAAGTATCAAACAACCACCAAATCGAAGATTTGGATGAAAAACAAATTTCGCCAAATTTCTTTTTTTCTTCGATTTGACGCAAAAAAACCCACAAAAGTGGTTGGAAATCTTCGGTTAGGGGCTATAGTAACCCCCCAAACAGTTTCCTTAGACTTTGGAACTACAAAAAGACCATTTTACCCCTCCACGAGGGGCAAAATCGAATTTTTTTTTGTAGAAACAGATGCGGTGCATATGCGGCCACATCTGTCAAAAGCGCATATACGCTAGTACGCGATGCGGATGCGAGCGCATCCCACATGATGCGGCCGCATATGCGGCGATGCGACCGCATTTTAAAACACTGACCTAGACCCTACTTGCTGGGGCCAAATGTTAGATTCATACTTGGACCCGATTGGTTATACCCGGCGGGTCTTGGGTCGGGTCCAGGTTTGAATTCATTGCCAACCCTAAAGGAAAGTGTTTATTGGCCTTTTTAGGAAAATTATGACCCTGGTCACATAAAAAAAAAAAAGAAAAAAAAAGGAGAAAATATCTCTTTATCCTCTATTTTTTATTTCTGTATATCACGAGACTCAAGGATTGAAAATATTATTTGTAACTAGAAATTCTCTATCTTTTCTATCTCACAACCTCCTGGACACCTTTGATTATGAATTTTTGACCCAAACAAAAATTAAAATGACACTCAAAATTTTTGTTTTCTTTTCATGTTTCTCTCAAAGCACCTTTTTTCCTCTCTCAAAATTCCATTTCTCTCTAATACCCAAAGTTTCTCTCTCTACATCGTCTCTCTCCTCTCTCTCCCTCAACACTTTTGGTCATATCTAGATTCTTCTATTTCTTTTTCGGTTTACAGTGAGAAATTTAGGAAATATTTTGACAAAAAAAAACCCTAATCACCATATTGAAGGCAAAAAAACATTCTGGATTTCTCATACTCCTTTTTGGTTCAAGAGGATTTCTCATACCCCGATGTGTTCGTCAGAATAATTTCTTCGTGTGCTTCTTTCCAGCAAATATCTCGCCTGAACACCTATAAAACTCCATTCCTTCTCTTGGGGTATAGGAACTCGAGGTTTACTCACTCCTCGAAGAGAAAAATGCTCCCTTGGGACAGGAAAATTTGGCTATATTTATGGAGTTGAGCTTCCTAATGGTGAACTGGTGATGATTAAGAACGTAAAGAAGAATTTTGGTAAGCTGCAGCTTGAAAAAGGCTTAGTGGCTAAAATTGAAAAGTTGCCGAAAATCAGTCATGGGAAT